AGATGGTAAACCTTGCGGTGAAAAGTGAGTCTTTCTGCTAACAGCTCATACGCATAAACAAAATTAGGGAGTGAAGTATCTGCTTCAGGGATGGAATTTGTCTGTTAGTGCAACATAAATTTTCTTGTAATCATGAAAATATATTGTGATTTGTTACCTGGGTTGCTGTTTATAGCACTGTATGTTTACTCTCTGTTAACTCTTAATGTAGCACTAGTTAGGTTACATTGTATAACATGCACTCTGGTTTAAAGAGCAGAAGTAAGTGCATGCTTACCTAATATATTTCTAACATACCGTGAAATTTAATTACATCATTTCAGCATCAACAGTACTTTAAACATTATATTCTGTAAATGTTATATTCCAGGGCCTGCATTAATGACAATGCAGTAAAATTGTAATAGGAAATGCTTGCTTTTCTTGAATTGGAAGAATGGTGGGGCTGTGGGGACAAATGAATGGAAGAAGTATCATGAAGAAATTATAGGATGTTCATAAAGTTATTGATGAAGTAGGGATGTTTTTCCTCAGGAGAAGATGTCTTTTTATTTTGATATTGCAAAGTGTGACAGCCTAAATGCTATTTCCATATATTAAGAAGATGGTTTTGAGAAGTTTTTCATTTTTCTCTTAAAAACAAATAGAGAGAACATGTCTGAAGAAAAAAATTAGTCTTTACGGTAAAGAACACATCAACCTCTAGGTTTTAAATACAGTTTTTCAAGTTATGATGACCTAATTAGTCATTGTCTCATTGGTAAAGCCAGGTAATTCCCAAATTAGCATTTTTTGCACAGAGTATTTACTTACAGTACCTTCTATCCAAATCACTTTCAACTGATTTAAAGATTGTGGCCGGGCTTTCACAAATTGGAGGATCCTTATCTCTTGTGCAGCAGCCAACCAGTTTACATGGAGTTAGCATCTTTTGTCATAGTATGATGAGAAGCTCTCACATGAGTTGCATAGTATCTCAGGCTTAGCTCAGAGAAACCTACTCTCCCAAAGCCTTTGCTGCTCGCAGATAGTGGTGTTTCTAGTGGACTCCTCGTGGAGTTTCTCACAACATTCCCTCTAAGAAGGATTCATAGAATGGTTTGGGTTGGAAAGGAACTTAAGATCATCTAGTTCCAACCCCCCTGCCCCTGGGCAATGCATCTGACACTGGCTGGATTGAATAGGCAGGGGTATGACCTGAAGCTCACAAATATATAAACATACACCTATATCTTTTTCCTCACTATCCTAGGTGTGTTCCAGAAACCCTCTCAAGTTTCATATTTCATCCTGAACTGATAAGGCATAAAGTCTTTTCTTAGCCTTCTTGGGACACAATGGCTGCATTTATAGGTTCCTGAAGGGTGACATTTTCAGTCGCTGCTTGAGATGCAGTCCTGAAACAGCCTTATGCTGCCAACACATACACCTCACTGGGCCATGGGAGCATGTGGCTGTCACCTCTATAAATGCTGTGGCAGAACGAGGGCACCCTTCTCTTCTCATTTACAGGGCTGGCCATACTCTCTCATCATTCACTGGAGCCCTTCCAGGAGGAGGTACGTGTTACACAAAGTCTGCATGAGAAATTCGAGATTTAGAACAAGTATACATGTGTCTGCAGCCAAACCAAAGCTTCCCTCACCCCAGAGCCATCAATGAAATACTCTTCCAGCAGGCCAGCTGACAGTATGAGACTCTACGTGCACGTGTCTACACAGTCGTTTGGCTTTCAGAGGTTATTCCCCTCAATACTGACTAACTCACACTTCAGTGGTATCATCCAGCTGTTGGCATCACAACAGCTGTGTGAGCCAAAACTGACCTTCAGCCAGCCAAGGTGTATCAGTTTTGAACCAGTCATGTCACCATAAGAAAGCACACAGAAAGCTTATCTTTACTCTAGTTAGAAAACATTTCTTTGCCCTGCCTTCCAGACCAATTTTTCTTAAGCATTCAAGATATATCATGCCCAGAAATATATCTGCTAGTTGCTTGAAGAACAGAACTCCGTGTTTATTTCCTAGACCAGATAATCCCACCCTACCTCTTCCCACCCACAAATCCTACTCTCTTCCTCATTAAGATCAGACAGCTGTGAAATCTTGTAGGATCAGATGTTAGTGACTCCCTTTCCAACTTCTCTTGGCCCTGGTTCCCTTAAACTCATGCTATAGAACATTCTCATGCTGAAAAAAGAGGACTCCCTTGCCTGTATCTGTAGTGTTAGCAGATAATAATAAAGGTGACAAGGTAAGCTCTGACAAGGATTCTTAGTCCTCAGAAGGGAGCCAAACCTGTGTTCCTGCTGCTTGGAGTCAGTAGTTCAGACAGGTGCATAATCTGATTGTACTGAATGCAGCAAACAGATGTAAAAAGAGTCCTTGGACAATCTCCAAAGCTAACTTCAGCAGAGCCAAGAATATGAGTATTGGAAAGACCTGCCTGGCAAAATTGCAGACAAGAGATGTATCTGTAATAGCCATATGTGATGTACTGGGGGATGGAAGGGAAGGCTGGTGTGTTATGTTAAGACAATTGCTCAATGTCTGTTCAGACACCCTCAGACTTTACTTGGATGCAGATGGCTGCAGTTTTCTCTGGTGAGGCTCAGTGTCACTTAGCATCAAATATTACCAAATACCCAGTAAAAGTATTGCATTGGTAGCCTGTAGACACTTAACTTCTTCGGGAAGCTCCAGTTAAAAATTGTATTTTTGGTTTGGTGTTTTGTTCTTCACTCTACCAGTCTCTTGTGGCGTCACGGGCAGCCAAGACGTAGCTCCCTTCTCGTTTTAGAAATTCCAGCACAGTTTGGAGGTCTTGGGAGGAGAAAGATTCCCTCACGCCAGCCTTGGGAGGCATTTCGTCCTTCATAGGAAACAGTGGAGAGGGGTGACACTTCTGAGTCCCAGATATATTCCTTATGAAAGTGCCTTCAATTAATCAAATGCCATCAGATATTAGTAAAAGTTATATATTCACATACATTGGGCAGTGGAGAGCTGCCACAGGGTGTGAATTTTCTAGATAGGTGAGGAACGGAACAGTTGTGATTTGAGAGGTATTGTAAGGCTGAAGAGATGGTATTCCAGCTGGGATACTTTCAGCACAGGAGTCATAAGGAGCAAGCTAATATGAATGTGGATGTATCCACAATAAATAAGCATTGCAATTTGAAGCTCCACAGCTTGGGCTTAAAGGTTAGGCAGAGCTTTTTTAGCTGTCCTTTTTCTCTTTATACCCGCTAATCATATCCCCTGTGAAAAGAGAAGAAAACCAAAGTTCATGCATGTTAAAACCCTCAGCATTACCTTATGCATCCCAGCAAGACAGAAGGAAACCCCTACATGATGGATAATTTTCTGAATGGTGATTGTAATTGTAACTTTATATATGGCAACTTTCAATTTGTGCTGTGCTGCCTTTCCTTTTTACCAGGAACATTATAAAAAAGCATAAGAACCAAGCCTCTAGTCCCCTCTCCGTGCAGGCTTAATTCTTCAAAGCTTCCTTCTCAAACGTTATTTAAGAGCAAACCCTGGCTTGTCTGTCTAGCCTTCTTTCTCAACAGCTCCCTGTTTCAACCGCTGGTTTTCACATGCCAAAAATGTTGTGATTTTCCTGCTCAAAAGACATTGCATGCCAAATAATTCTTCTTCTCATCAGTGCTTACTTACCAGATGACTCAGTAACTTCCAAAAACTTCATGCTGCTATTCCTTCCTCTCATCTTAGCACTGTGTAGTGATGCATATGCTTCTGGCATCTGTAAAAACACTGTATCTGCCTAGCACAGCTAGAGCCTCCTTTAAACTCAAAAGCAGGAAAAAGTGTGCAGACGTTCTTCCCTGGGCACAGAATATCTCTGTGGCATAAACCACAGATAAGCCTCACTTACAGAAGATCCAAAAAATCAGAGGATGGTAGTGGTGGTAGCAAAGATAGAAGTAGAGAAACAGTTGCAATGTATTTGGCAAAAGCCATTACTGAACCTACAGAAAGATCATTGCAGTTCTTTGTTCACAGAGCATCCCAGCGTCTCATGGGACCTGATCCTTGAACCTGGGATGTGGCCTCTAGGGAGAAAAATAGGCAAGACTGCCACAATGCAGGCAGATTTGCAGCAATTTTGATTCAGCAGTGTTTGCTCAAGTCTAAAGCATAGAACTGTTAAATCAGGCAACAAAAACCTGGAGCAAAGCATCTAAGCCAGCTTGTCTTTATGTAAACAGCTGCACAGAAATGCACTTCAGTAAGTGGGTCCTAATGGTAAATGTGCTTATGGGTGCTTAGCTGAGGCTTGGGGGGAGGATATTCTTCCTACTGGCTGCTCTGTAGTATTTCCCTAGGAAATGTGAGAGAATTTGCCTTCATAGCTTCTAAACAGGAATTGTGTTACAGAGTAGAGTAGTTAATCTGAGTCTTCATATGGTAAATGATCGGATTAACAAAACAAAGACTGTGTGAGAGTTCAAGGCACATGTATATCTATATACAAGCTAACATGCACGCAAAGGGGAAAAAAAGTGATTCAGGTCCTACTTCCTGTAGGTCATACGGGAAGAAGAATTTCATTCTGATGGATAATTACTCCCATGTCAAACAGATACTATGATCATAAGGGTAGAAGCTAGGTTAGGACAATTAAACAAAATGTACCTCAAAACATGTCTTTCAGAAAAAGAAAGATATGTAAGGTAAGTCAATCTTCAGTCCCTCAGACTTCACTCAGGGATAATTTATGACTCTTTGCAAAGCTGAAGACATAAAGGCACTGAACCACATTATTAAGTAGTCCCAACAATTGCCAAAAAGTACAGTAACCTCAGTTACTGAGCTATTTAGACAAAATCTCTAATGGACTCCAGGAATTTTTGGTACCACCTGCCCCACCAGCATTTCTGTAAGGCAGTCCAGCCTAACATCCCACTGCAGTAGTTTTACTCTGAAGTCTTATTTTTGTTTTAATCATAATGTTCCTATTACATTATTTTTCAGGCCCGGATTATATCAAACAAAAATTTCAAGAAGGAATGGAGGTGAAAGAAAAATCTGAAGAAAAGGTTCAAGAAAATCCACCTTCCCCAAAAGAGTCACCTCACTTCTATCGAAAAGGTACTACACCCCCTCGAACCCCAGAAGCAAGTCCAAGGCATAGTCCTCCTCTTCCTTCTGAGCCTTCACCTTCGAAACAACTGAAAAAGCAAAGCTCTTCTTCTGGGGCAAGACTAAATCAAGAAAAAAAGCTTTTAGCCACTGAGAGTATAACACCCACAATTAACAAGCCTTTATATTCAAAAGCACCAGTGAAGGAAGAACTAGCTGTGAAACACCAGCCAAAGTTTTCAGCCCATCACAATCCCATCAGCACAGAGAATGGGGAGCTGCATGACTACTACCATGGCTATTATGTAAAAATGAATCCAACAGCGCTTCCACAAGAGCTCAGGGAAGAAGATGAATATGTCAACCCATCACCGTCATCACTTGCACGGATACCACCCTCACAGAAGCCAAGTCCTGCTAGGTCTGGGGGTAAGCCAGAAGCCAAAGAAAACAAACCTGACACAAAAATTAAGAAACCAGAATTTGCCACGCCAAAGAACCCAGCTAATAATGAGTCACATTCAGCAGTGAAAAAAGAAGTAGAAAACAGCTCGGTAAGTACTGCAAAAAACCTTTCACTTTCACTGCACTTTCTAGTGCTGAACTTTGCAAACTGAAGACAGGCAAAGCTCACTTCTGTCAAATCTTGATCTGGATACAGTTTGCTAGGCAGAACACACTGCACCAGGGCAGAGCGAGGAACTGCTCTAATCCTTTATATTACCTTCTTCAAAAACTGGGAAGGGATAGTTTACAGCCAGATGCTAGTAGACTTTTGAAACATAAATCCCTATTGCATCCATAAATACAAAAATGTATTACTGTGTGTATGTATGTATATGTATGTGCAGGTTTTGTGCATGAAGATATGTATTTGTAAATACATATGTACACACATGTATTTATGTGTAGGCCCCATCTCTCAGAACAATGTTGTACTTCAGTGGATAATTGGGTAGTACTGAGAGCTGCACTCATGCTCTTCTCCAGAGGTCTACTTTTGACTACTATTAGAGACAGGATGCTGATCCAGCATACAATCTCCCATTTTCATTTTCTTTCCTGTGTTGATTGTAGTCTCTAAAAACAGGCAATTTCCATCAAAATATAAACTTTTAAAATGCATACTTGTAACAATGCTTGTGTTTTACAGTGAAGTGAAAACTATTCCTTTCTTTTTCATCAGGAAATGGAGGAGATTTTAAACTATTTATTCAAGTTAGTGTGAATATCAATCTCATTATTATTTAGAAATAACAGAACTATCAATAGTTATACAGAAAAGGAGAGATGACTAATAGCATTTCTATTCCATGTTAGAAGGAAAAGCCAGGTTATCAAATTCAGAATCTCTGATGATGATAAAATTACATCTGGGACAAGAGAAACTCAGAGAAATGGTAGTTGTAGACCCTAAAGTTTACCTTTAGAGAATGAGGAGGTCTAGATAATTGTAATAATGTTTCTTTTTTATAAGCATTGTTTCTTTGAATCCTTTTTTGGTACTTAAGTAGAAAAAAACGGTGTGTCATTATTGATGGGATAAACAGAATGACCCATTTAATGAGCTCCAGATAGCTAAGCACTGGTCTCAGGCGAAACAGCTGAATAATTGACACCAGACTTCATTAATAAAGAATTTAGAAATAAAGATGTATAAGAATTTGCAACCAACATGCATTGTAGAAGATCATGTCAAACAAGCTTGACATCTTCAGGTGTGACAGAGGAATCATATCGTCAATCAAGAAGGTCACTTGATTTGTTTTTACACAGTAACTTACTCTGACAAGGAAGCCAGAGAAATGCAAAGGCTAAATGTCACATTAAAATAATTCTCAGAAACTGGCTGATGATTCTCAAGAAGTAATTAGAAAAGCATCAGAAATGTGCTATTATTCTGATGCGATCATTCTTGGATTAATTCTGCTACTCTATTTTATTAATATTCTTATTAATGACATGGAAGAGGACATAGAAGTATTACCCAGGAAGTTTACAGAAGACACAGAGATCAGGAAACTGATAAATAATGATCCAAATCACCTGCTAAGAAAGATGCAAGTATAATTATCCATGTACAGCACAGCAAAATATAAGATTGTATATTGAAAGACAGTTAGAGCCTGGCCTTGCAGGATCAGAAATGGGAAAGGTTGCAAGAGAGGCAACTGAGCATGAGCTTCCAGTCTGCTGCTGTTGCTCAGAGATGTTAATATAATCCTTAGATTTATCAACAGGAAAGATTATGCAAGAGTACATGGGAGTCTGTTTTATCTGGTTTTGGCACTGGTGCAGCCACTTTTGGAATAAAATACAGTTTCTGTAAATCAGGGATTTTAAATGAAAAAAAAAACCGCAACCTAAACCACAAGGAGCTGCAAGAATGATTAAAACATATCTTGAAATGAAAGATTCAAGGCAGAAAAATCTGACACATTAAATCCTTTTCTGTAGTACACCTTATAAAATAGTTTCCCAAGCTATCAAACAATTGTATAAAAAGATCCAACACCTTGACAGATTTGGATAAAAGTCTTGTTTAAAGTTGCTTTTAATGATATTAATTAAATGTAACATCATTTTTCCAATGCTGAGGTTTTAGAACAGTCACTGAGTAGCTCAGTAACGAGCATTTTGCCAAGATGATACCCTCTCATTCATCAGGAAGCTTATATTCTAGTTTGTGCAGATCAAAGATGTTCACAGTGGTTTTGTAATCTGAAAATCTGTATTACAGCTGGTATCAGCCCTTTAACCTTTTAAATCTCACAGATATGACTCCTGTGTAAGGTGACATAAAGCTGTCAGGCTTTTAAATGTTGCGTGAGCATGCAAAGAATTGTAGCCTGAATTGGAATTTTTATTCAGCTGAGATGAAAATAAGTGGCTAGAAATAGTCCCTATTTTTACTACATTCCATCCAAACTAAATAATGGTTTGGAACTGAGGGAGTCTTCACCTTAACAAACAAAATGGGGCATCTAAACAGCAATTTACTGACCTGAATAATCAGGTTAAGGACCCTGAGCTTATAGCCTGTTATCAGGAAAAGTGGAAAAGTGATGAGATAGTATATATTAGTTACTGTTTACTGGCATTACAGGTCATCTGGGAACTGTACCTCTCCTTCATTTGGAGCACCCTAATTGCATTATTCTTACTATCAGCTTTTCAGGAAGGAAGGAAATTAAGAGTTTAAGAACTCATTTTTGATATAATGGCATTTTAAGATACATGTAGACATATGTGTTTTTTTCAAAGATGCCATCCATATGTCTTCCATATTGATACATTTGCCTTTATAGAATAAATTTCCTACATGCTTATTTCTTTAAAATGCTGAAAAATGTAAAACGTAAAATTGAAGCAGAAGGGAGCAGCCTACTGGCCTCGTAGACTGAGGGAGAGACTTAGTACAGAATGGCTGTTAGCACTGTCTGGAGACTTTTCTTTTTAATATTTAGTATCACCTTTCAGCATCAGAAAAGCAGTACCTGTTCTGCAGTGCTCTTGACTGAGCTCAGTAGTGTGATGGAGTTGCACAGTAGCTAACGTAAGGGTGCACAGTTACTGAGGAGAACACAGATTAGCATTCTTCTCTTTATTCCAAATATTTCTGAATGTTGAGAGACTTCGGAATTCTAGGGCTGCACTTGGGAATTATTTTGTTTTAGTCAGTATCTGCAATAGCTTTATAGTCATCCTGACAAATGATTTTGCTGGGTTTGAAACTATATCTGTCTTAGATCCCCCATAAAAGTCTAAAATTATATTTGTTACGGAATATAAAGGGAAAAGAACTCTCACTCTCATTAAAAGAGAATGAGAAAACATGGGTTTGGAATGCAAAATGAATCTGTAACATTTATTGAACACTTTCATTAGATTATCTGAAAGTGCTGTGTAAAATTGTCCTGCACTTTTTAGAATCATAGAATAGTTAGGGCTGGAAAGGACCTTAAGATCATTAAGTTCCAACCCCACTGCCATGGGCAGGGACACCTCACACTAAACCATGACACCCAAGGCTCTGTCCAGCCTGGCCTTGAACACCGCCAGGGATGGAGCATTCACAACTTCCTTGGGCAGTCCATTCCAGTGCTTCACCACCATCACAGCAAAGAACTTCCTCCTTACATTCAATCTAAACTTCCCCTGTTTAAGTTTTAACCCATTACCCCATATCCTGTCACTACAGTCTCTTTGAAGAGACCCTCCCCAGCATCCTTATAGGCCCCCTTCAGATACTATGAGGTTTCCACGCAGCTTTCTCTTCTCCAGGCTGAACAGCCCCAACTATCTCTGTCTGCATACAGGAGGTGCTTCAGTTCCCTGATCATCCTCGTCGCCCTCCTCTGGACTTGTTCCAACAGTTCCATGTCCTTTTTATTTGAGGACACCAGAACTGCACGCAGTACTCCAAGTGAGGTCTCAGGAGAGCAGAATAAAGGGGCAGGATCACCTCCTTCAACCTGCTGGTCACGGTCATTTTGAGGCAGCCCAGGATATGGTTGGCTTTCTGGGCTGTGAGCGCACACTGCCGCCAGCTCATGTTCATTTTCTCATCAAGCAACGCCCCCATGTCCTTCTCCACAGGGCTGCTCTGAATCTCTTCTCCACCCAATCAGTAGTTGTGATGAGGTGTAGGACCTTGCACTTGGCATGGTTAAACTTCATGAGGTTGGCATCAGCCCCCCTCACAAGCATGTCAGGGTCCCTCTGCATGGCATTCCTTCCCTCCAGTGTATCAACCGAACCACACAGCTTGGTGTCATTGGCAAACTTGCTGAGGGTGCACTCAATCCCATTGTCCAAGTCAGTGACAAAGATGTTGAACAAAACCGGTCCCAACACCGATCCCTGATGGACACCACTCGTTACTGGTCTTCAACTGGACATTGAGCCATTGACCACAACTCTTTGTGTGTGGCCATCCAGCCAGTTCTTTATCCACCGAGTAGTCCACCTATCAAATTGATGTCTCTCCAATTTAGAGACAAGGATATCGTGTGAAACAGTGTTGAACGCTTTGCACAAGTCCAGGTAGATGACATCAGCTGCTCTACCCCTGTCCATCAGTTCCGTAGCCCTGTCATAGAAGGCCACCAATTTGGTCAGGCAGGATTTCCCCTTAGTGAAGCCATGCTGGCTGTCACCAAACACCTTGTTGTTTTTCATGTGCTTTAGTACGCCTTCAAGGAGAATCTGCTGGTCTGTAGTTCCCTGGGTCATCCATTTTCCCCTTTCTGAAAATGGGGGTTATATTTCCCTTTTTCTAGTCATCGGGAACTTCACCTGACTGCCATGAATTTTCAAATATGATGGCCAGTGGCTTAGCAACTTCATTCACCAGCTCCTTCAGGACCTGCGAATGGATTTCATCAGGTCCCATGGACTTGTGCACATTCAGGTTCTTAAGTTGGTCTCGAACCAGATCCTCTCCTACAGTGCGCCTAAAGTCTTCATTAACAAAAGTGAATTTTGAAGTTTTCCAGTGATAATGCATTAGGAACATAGTTACAAAATGTAAGATTTTAGTTCTTCCTTCTAT